CCACTTGACTTCACATTCCAGGATGTCTGGCTCTAGGTGAGTGATCACACCATCGTGATTATCTGGGTCATGAAGATCTTTTTTGTACAGTTCTTCTATGTATTCTTGCCACCTCTTCTTAATATCTTCTGCTTCTGTTAGGTCCATACCATTTCTGTCCTTTATCGAACCCATCTTTGCCTGAAATGTTCCCTTGATATCTCTAATTTTCTTGAAGAGATCTCTAGTCTTTCCCATTCTGTTGTTTCCCATCAGTATAATTACCTTATTAAGAATAAAATCTCACAAGATCCTTTACACTTTGTCTCCTGATTTTTTTTTCCTGCTTCATAGCTACAGATATCACCAGTGGAGAAGAGCAATGACCAGAGAAATGAAGAAGCTGAGGGTGCTACAGAGCATTCCGAAAGGGAAATTGAAAATGATGGGGAAGTCACAGCCCAGGGGGACTATGGAGGAAGCCAAGGGGAAATGGACATGGAAGAGGAATTTGAATTAGAAGAGGAATTAGAATCTGATTTGGAACCCACGTCCTCTGAAGGGGAAGTCAGTTCTCCAGATCTGGCTTCCTCAGACATCAGTCCTGGGGAGGGGCCCAAAGAAGAAGTTGACCGCACACACCCATATGAAGGAGCAAGGAGGGAGATGGGTCTTGAGGACAGAGAGGCCCCCTACCCATCCAAATCCAGCGGAATGGGGTTCATCGCCACAGTGCGCTCCCAGCAAGTATTAGGCCTATCTGAGCAAACGAGCCAGGTGAGTAGCCTGAGGTCTATAGTGTTTTACTGCTCATGAGGTTTGTAAATCTATGTGAGGAACTCAGGGTACACTATAAATAATTCACATGGCAATGTCTGTTAGGAATGTCTTAGCAAACGTACGTCTCAGGAGCCACCATCAGAGGCCAAGAGTTTCTGGACCCAAGTTGGAAACATTCCACGTAAGGGCGTCCAGGTGTCCAGTCTCTAGAGCAACACCATCCAGTAAAACTCTACAAGATAATGGAAATGAGCTTTATCTGCGCTGTCCAATATGGTAACCATTAGTCACATGTGACTATAGAGCATTTAAAATGTGGCCAAGGAGATGGAGAAACTGAATTTTTAATCTTTTGAGGATTCTAATTAGTTTAAATGTATATATCCAACTGTTATAAGTGGTTACCAGACTGGACAATGCAACTGTGGACAATAATAGTTATAGGCTTATTTTCACTTTTTAATTTTTAAGCAAGTACACACAGAAAATTTGGAGTACCTTAAAGAAGTTTTAAAAATGTTTTTTAAAAGCATTTGACAGCAAGTTGCTTCCCAATGCTTTCGTATATGTTTTCCGCAAACAACCATGTGATAATTATCAAAATCAATGTGTTACATTACCAAATACACCTCGGGCTTCCTTCACCAAGTGTCCTAGTAGTGTCTTTTATAGTAGAGTTCCACTTCAGAATTGCCTGCTGCCTTCAGCTGTATCGTCTCTTTAGTTAGTCTTCTCAATCGGTCCTTGACCTTGATGACCTTGACACTATTAAAGGTCACAGGCCAGATATTTTGTAGAATGTCCCTCAGTTTGGTTTTGCCTGGTATTTTCAGGTCTCCAGGTTTAGAATGTCACGGAAGGATGCCATGTTTTTCTGGTATTCTATCAGGTGGGACATCAGTTCAGCTTGTCCATTACTGATGGGCAAGCCCCTAAATGTTTGGGCTGTAACTCTCCATGCCAAGACCTTCCTCGCCAGGCCCAGGCCTGATACCTGTGTCTCACCTTGGGGACAGTCTCTGAAACCCAGCCTCCTCATTTTATCCAGACTCATCACCCCACACTGGGTCAACTCCACCTGTTGGCTTTAGGTTTGATTGTTCTAGAAAGGAAGCGAGGGGCAGGGCAGGAAGAGAAGGCATTATGTTTATTCATCATGTACTCTGGGCTGGACACTTCCATGCCCTTTACATGTGTTGTCTCAGTGGCAACAACCCCATAAGGTGGGAACTATTATTATCCCCATTGCTCAGATTAGGAAACTGAGGAGCCAAAGGACTTCCTTACCCAGAGGCAGGCAGCTATGATGGCAATCATACTTGCTGTGAACTGTGAAGTTCCTCCCCACCCTGTGAAAGCTAAAAGAGATAATAACTTTAGAGAATCACATGATTCAATATTTGATGCACTATAATTAAGCTTTATGACTACAAATGACAAATGCATATCAAAACCACTTTTAAGATTTTAACAAACAGTGCCCTCCTTTATAACATAGCCAGGACCAGAAATTACCAGATGGTCCAATGGTTAGAACTCTGCACTTTCAGCGCCAGGGGCCTGGGTTCAGTTCCTGACTGGGGAACTAAGATCCTACAAGCCACATGGCACAGCTGAAAAAACAAACAAACAGGTCCAAACAGACAGCCAGGAGTATTGAAGTATAGGTCGCATGGTGAGCTATGAACCCAGTTTGCATCCTCAAGTCTAGTTTCTAGAAAACTCACCAGGGGACTTCTCTGGTGGTCCAGTGGCTAAGACTCTTCCTTCCTGATGCGAGGGTCCTGGGTTCAATCCCTAGTTGATTCCACATTCTGCAACTAAAGATCCCTCATGCCTCAGTTAAGACCCAGAGCAACCAAATAAATAGGTAAATAAATAATTCTTTTTTAAAGAAAGATTGGAATGAGAGAAAAAAAACAGTATGGTTTGGTATCTTAGTAAAACCTCTTACTTTACGAGAAAAAGAAAACTCACTGGGAAACAGTTTCCAAATTTGATCAACCAGAAGAGCAGAGACAAACCCTAAGAGAGAACCCTATTTTCCTCCTCCCAGCTCTCAAGTAACTTAACTGTGGAGTGGGAGCTGCTGGGTCATCGGCGTGGTCATTAAGAGAAGCCCTTTCTGGACCCCCCAGAGGTAGGCTTTTGACTCTGGGCTCCCATGAATATCACTGTGGTTCTGGATGCCTCAGAAGTCATTTCTAGAAGCAGCATCACCTGGGGAAGAACAGCTGGAAAGATCAGGAGCTGGGCGTTGAGACAGCCTTTGGCTAACTGGGCAAACTTAAGCAAGGGCCTCAGCTTCCATGAGCTGCTTCCCCTGCAGGAGACAGAAATGACTGGCATCCACCTTGCAGGGTCCTGTGCAGGGTCATTCTCTGCCCTTACTCATGTTCACCAGTTCATCAGCAGCAGTAGTTATTGTCAATGATAATCATTGCAAGAGTCCCCTTTAGAGTTAAAATGGAGCCAGGTGCTTGGGAAAACATTTTCTTCTGGAAATGTCCCCAAAGTGAAACTGAAAGAAGAGAAGAAACAGCCCTCTTGGGAGACCCTGACCGGGGCTCAGGCTTTCAGAAATGCTGTTTACCAGCCTCGGGGAGAGCAGCATTTGGGAATAAAGAAGCTCACGTCCAGCACATGCCCGTGCCTCAGTGTTTACACTTTGCTACAGATCTAGTTGGGCAGAGACCACTCCTAAATCCCTCATGGGGGTGGAGGTAGGTATTTTTTGTTTTGACGATTGCAAAAGCCAAATGATATGCAAGCAATTTTCTATCGCTTTAACAACTGTGTTGAATTTTGAACACTGTAATAAGCAAATTTGAATAACGCCTCAGTCCTGACTAAACCCTCATAAATTCAGATTTGGTTGTTTTTGCTCTATACAATCCCAGGGAGCGCTCCAGCAGAAGGTCTTTCCTCTGGAGGCTGGGCATCACCTCAGACAGAGCCCGGAGAGCAGCGACACATCCCTGGATCTTGACGAGCTGCCTCCGAGCACGGAGGGGCCCTTCACCCCGGAGTCAGGTACTGCGGGACAAGCCACTTCCCATCCCCTTCTGTGCGAGCGCCCCCACTCCTTTGCTCCTATTACCTCATTTCCTATTGGGCTATGAGTCTAAAGATAAAAATGTCATTAACAGAAATGGGTAAGACACGTGGAGCATTTGTTCCGTTTTATCTAATTTAATCCTTTCACTTACCTGGTGAGGTAGGAACTGTTCTCCGTTTTACAGACCATGAGAGTCCTTAAGTTACTTACCCATGTAAGTGGCAGAACCAAGCCTGGACCGAAATCCAGTGACACGGCCCCGGCCACACATCCCTCTCTGCCTTCTGGTCTCAGAGGGGAGCTCGGCCCTAAACATGTGCCTGTGGGCTGAGTTTTCCAAGGTGCTTTCAGGTATACCCCTATCTTTCCACTTGGTTCTGGTTTCCTAGAGTTGAATACATGAGAAAGCAGATTGGGTTATTTTATATTGTATATAACCTGATGGGAAGAGCTGACTCATTGGAAAAGACTGATGCTGGGAAAGATTGAGGAGGAGGAGAAGGGGATGACAGAGGATGAGATGGTTGGGTGGCATCACCGACTCAATGGACATGAGTTTGAGCAAAATCTGGGAGATAGTGAAGGACAGGGAAACCTGGCATGCTGCAGTCCATGGGGTCACAGGGTTGGACACGACTTAGTGACTAAACAACAACAACAAGTATTCCATTTGATGGTGGTGTGTGGATGATCAGCCAACAAAACTTCACCTCACCTACAAGTGACATGCAGACAACACTCATCTAAATAAGTTAGAAACAAAACAGGATCTCTCCAGCTCAGGAAGGAAGAAGAGCTGAAACTTGAGCCCCACTGATTGCTTTTCAATCGTATCAGTTGTTTTCCTTTAAAAAAAAAAAATCTAGTCCATCATTAAGAAGCCCCCTTTCTGTTCATTATTTACATATTAAAAGGTATCCACAAAATGTGTTTGCTTCTTGTCTACCTTTAAAGTTCAATCTTTCTACAAAATATGTTGAATTAGCTAGTAGAAAATTCATGCGCAGAAGACCCTGTGAATAGCATTGTGAACCCTAGCCCAAGGTAGGCTTTGTCTTTCTCTTTTCCCTCCTGTTGCACAAGGCTGGGCGTTTAGCTTTCTGATGAACTCCCCCAGAGAAGCACTCTCTCTATTAACTGCCCAATAACATTTGCCGTTCCCCCCTTACTTGTCCCCCTAGAACCCAGCACCCACCCCAGGGAGGGTGCCGCGTCCTCCTTCCTGGACAGGATCCAGCAGCTAAGCATGGTGGAGGAAAGGGGCCTGGTGGAAAGAGTGGAATCTGAGGGCAGCGACGAGGCGGAAGAAGACAAATCCCAGCTGGTGGTCTTGGACCCAGACCACGTAAGAAATTCGGGGGTTTTGCTTTTGCCACACACAGACGAAGATGGACTTAGAGACACTGCCGCGCTTGCCCTGTTCTGCCTGGAGCCTCCATGGCCCACCTTTTACCAGCAACTGCTGCGCTCTGCTTCATCTGCTCCCCACATAGTTGACCTGCAGGCTTTGGGCTGCCACCTCGTCAAGTGTGTTCTCCCTTCAGGTTCATTCACTCAGACTCAGCATTTCCCAGTCACTGGAAGCCGATCACTGTGGTGGGCGCTTCCTGAGCACTGAAGGGTGCTGAGGAGCATCCCCGGGGCCTCCACCCCCCAGATGCCAGCAGCGCCGTCTTGGTTGTGATGGCCAGAAATGTCTCCAGATTTTGGGTAGGGGCAAGGTCACCTCCACTGAGAGACATCACCTTGCGTGTCCCATGCCTCTGGCAAGTGGGGAGGACGGGTCTTGACTGGTGCTAAGGTTGCAGTGGGAAATGGGGCTCAAGGTTCATTTGGTGCTGGCATCCAAGGCTCTGCTCATCACTGCCCTTCAGCTCCGGGGATTAAACCAGTACCACTGCCCCAACTTATCCTGTCATTTTGCCAAAATATGCACTCAGGTCCTTCAGTGCCTATGGTGAGACCACCAGTGACTTCTGAAATAAGAATCCTGGGCAGAAGTGGGGAGCACCCAGTATGAAAGTCATTTCTGTCTCCACAACCCTCCCCCAAGAGCTGTGGCTAAGCCCCGGAGGGGACAGGACAGTAACTGGCTGTGCTCTTCCGTTGTTCTAGCCCCTGATGATAAGATTCCAGGCTGCCCTGAAGAGCTATCTTAACCGGCAGATAGAGAAACTGAGGCTGGAACTTCAAGAACTGGTGCGTACCTGTCCCATCACCCACTTAGCTGTGCTCCCTCCTGCGTCTCCATGACCCAGTTTCTCTCTCTGGTGCAGAGCGTGGCCACCAAGCAAAGCCGAGTCCAACGGCAGGAGTTGGGGGTGAACCTTTACGGGGTCCAGCAGCACCTGGCCCGCCTGCAGATGCAGCTTGAGAAAAGTCACGACCGCCACTCCATCGCTGCAGGCACAAGGCAGCAGAAAGAGGAGGAGCTGCAGAGGGTGCGCTTGCTCTACACCAAGACCTGTGAGACCGCCAACGAGGAGCGCAAAAAGCGTAAGGCTGCTCCGTGTCCTTGCAGGTGTCCACTGGGGGTGTCCCCACATGCCACAGAGACCCCAAAGGGATCCTCACCTGCCATCGAATCCCTAAATACCTTTGCAGCCTGGTGGGGTGGCCCAAGTGCCATCATGACCCGAGGGGTGTCCCCATGTGCTGTCATGACCCCGAGCCACTGTGGGACATCATGAAAGGCAAGATGTGTTCATGTCATGGAGGCGTTCCCAACCTTCCTGGGAAGGAAAGACAAGTCTTAAAATGCACCTAATTAGGCAAAGCAGCAAACACTGAAAGCCGGCAGGTTGTGTTTTTGGAGTCAAAAGTAGGAGAGGCTAATGGGCTGCTGGGGTAGAAGATAGGGTCTCCAGAAGGCAGGGAAGAGTGGGTGTGGGCAGGGTTTAAGCAGGTGGGGAGGTATAGGTGAGGCCAATCCAAAGTGCAGGGACCCATGATCCAGAGCCCTGAAGCCCCGGGCTGTGCGGCAGGTTAAGGAGAGCAGGTGACTCTGGAGCAGAAGAGGCCACGGGGCTCGGACTAGTCACTGTTCCTAGAGCAAAGCCCTGCCACAGTGAACAGCGTGGTCACAGCAGATTGTTTCAGTTTTTGTGTTTTTCATGTTTCTGACTTTCTCCATCACCTCTGTGTGATATTATAATGGGGGAAGTAACCTAAAAGAATTTGGAAGAAAACAGAATCACACCTGTATCTCAACTGTCAATGGAAAGAAGAATTTTGGACCCTGAGAAATGTAGGAGAGGTTTCCAGACAGAGTTAGGAAAGCGCTCCCTTAGGGAGCACTCCTCCCTGATTATCACCAAATTAACAGAATCTAGCAAAAAGAGAAGAGCAGGGCACTCACACTAGAACAGTGGAGCCACATCCTCCAGTTATAACAGAAGTTAGACCAGTTTGAAAGAGGACACATGTCCCCCGCCCCCTCCACACAGGAGCAGCCAGTGCCCACCAGCACCCTTCCTCAGAGGCTCAAGGCGCAGATGGGCTTCAGGCTTCTGGAAAGATCCAGTTGTGTTTATGGACACTGTGTCCTTTCTGGAGGTCATCAGGGGGCGGGAGCAAAGCTTGTTCCACCAAGCAAGGACCCACCTCACAGCACCATTCCTTGCTTCTTTGAACTAAAGAATTTGGGTGATGGTCCCAACCCTGCCTACCAGGTGCTGCCGCGGCCCTGTCCTGTAGGTGAAACATGGGCCTTTCCTCCTGGACAATGTCTATGGTTGCCCACCTTACCTGGGAGGGAGGTGAAACCCACCAGTCAGTAACCTTCACACCCAAGTGTGAGTCCGCAGCAGCAATCCCCAGGCAGGAGAGCAGACCTCTCCACAGACAAACATCGGGTTCTGAAAACTGAGCATTTGCCAACTGGTGTTTGACGTGAGATTTTAGAGGCTATCTCACCAGTCAAATGAAAACCAACTATTAGGGAAAACGATACTCAGAATTAAAAAATAGAATCATCATCCCCCCTCCCCCAAAAAAGTACAAAATAGCTAAATCAGCACTGCTGAAAATTGAACAACTGAATTTGTATACTAAAAGTCCAGTGTGAGAAATTCTATCCAGAATTCAGAGCAAAAACCCAAAGTGATGAACATTCTGAGAAAGAGATAAAAGACATGGACATAAGTCTGGTAAAGTCAGCATCCATACGATAGAAATTCCAGGAGATTAGGGGCATTAACCAATGACATCAGAGGAAAACGTTTGCGTTGAGTTCAAGAAAGATGAATTTTCAGGTGTAAAGACTCATGTAGGGCCAGATGGGTGGAAGAAAAAATAAACATGCCCAGACATACTTGGTGAAATTTTTAAATTCCAAAGGTAAAGGGAGGGAAATGCCATAGGATTACTCAGACAGGACAAAACCAGACATTTCCTATGTTATTCAACTCTCCAGAAGGTGGAAATTTTGGGAAATCCTTCCCAGGCTTGTTTTATAATTCTCAGTATAATGCTTGCTGGAAAAAGCTTACAGTGTACAAAAACATGAAGTGATCCTACTTACAAGATATGAAAATCCTAAATAAAATATTAGCAAATATTAAACTTTTGCTCATCAACAAAAGATTAAGTTTAGCAATATATGAAAAGAAAAAAATAGCTCCTAGTGAAGAAGGGCTTAATTCTGGGATAATTTGAAATTAGGAAATCTACTGATTCATTGCACTTTTTTCTTAAAGGAGAGAGAACAAAAAGATTTTCTGGGTGGATGCCCAGTGGATGTTTGAATAAAACTCATTATTCATCCTAAACTAGAATAGAAGGAAATTTCTTTGTAAGTGTTTATCAGCAACTAATAAGACAGTTTTACTCAGTGGAAAGCCCTGGAGTGATCATAGATAAGGTAAGGAATGAGATGAGGATACACTGTTTCGGACGTTCCAGCTATGAAAGAAAACAGGAAATATAAACGAAGTATAGATTCTGGATATGACGTCTTGAGACTCATTCTCCACCAATGGTATGATTGTTTACCTAGAAGATTCAAGATTACTGTTGAAAAAGAAGCAAATAAAAGCGATAAGAAATCTATAAAGTAACTGAACACTAGAGTTATAATTTTCTTTTCTACCAGTCATATCCAGTTAAGAATTATTAATGTAATTTTAAAAAATCTCATCCATGATAGCTATAACAGCCATAAAATACTTAGGAATAAGTCTAATAAGAAGCAAGTGAACTGGACTTTCCTGGTGGTCCAGTGGTTAAGAATCCGTCTGCCCAGGCAGGGGACATGGGTTAGATCCCTGGCCCTGGAAGATCCCACATGCAGTGGGGCCACTAAGCCTGTGCCACAGTGACTGAGCCCGCACGCCCTGAAGCCTGCGCTCTGCAACAAGAGGAGCCATCACAATGAGAAACCCATACACCACAACTAGAAAAGGCCCTCACACAGTGGGGAAGACCCAGCACAGCCAAGTAAATAAATAAAAGGAAGCAAGCGAACCTGCCTGAAGAAAAACAATAAAATTTTACTGAAGGACATAAAATGTTTAAATAAATGGAACAGTCGTGTAATGGGATGGGAGGATGCACGATATATAAATGTCATTTCTCTAGATTAACAAGCAGTTCACAGCAAGTCCAGTTAAAATCCACAAATGTGATGTTTGAGTGAGCTTGAATTTATTTAACATAGTTATTTATTATTTTTGAGAAGTAATAATACAAAATTGAAGCTCTCTCGAGTCTCCCTCTGGCCACTCCAGCCCCCTCTGCAGAGTCACAATGGTATTATTGATTCTTTTGTGTTCTTTCAAAGATATTTTTGTGTATAAAAGCAAAGTTATAAGGGTGTGGTATTTTTTTCTATTTTTTTACACAAGTAGCTGTACACTATGCCCACCACTCTGTTCCTCGCTTTTCCCCCCTTATCGATGCTTGCTAGAAATTATTCCAGAGCAATACCTTAAAAACTCTCCATTCTCGACAAATCAATTTTCAAGAGCTCTTGGAAAACTAAATGCATAAGAATATCCAAGAAAATTTTGAAAAAGAAGGGTGATGAGGGAATATTGTCCTAACAGATATCAAAGCACTGTATCAATCTACAGCAATAGAAACAAAATGGCTCAAGGGAAAAAAATGGGCAAATAGATCAATGGTGTGAGAGTTCCAGGAAGTTTACTCTGGAATCTATCTATTTACTGCAAATTGAATGTACAGATTGCACTTTAAAATCACTAAATATTTTCGCTCATTTGATCATCCAAAAAGGAACACTTAGACTCCTGGTTCATGCTAAGCAAAGCCTGTTGACCCTGCATATCTTTCCGACTTCCTCTTCTGACACCAGGTCAAGAAAACTCTGCTACTAGAGGGCTTACCTGCTGAGGTCAGGCCCATCTGATAATTACCCTTTTTGCCACAAACACAACCAGATCTCAGGTTGTGATCTCAGGGGCAGAGCTCATCGGAGCTTTTCAGGACTCTGCCCACCCTGTCTTATTACATGAAGGGCCCCTCAAAGCCTAATAGGTAAAAGACTACTACCCTGCCATAGAAGAAGGGGTGGTAGTATGAACAGGCACGTCAAAGAAGGAAAAGGACAGCCGGTCTTCATACTGTGAAAACAGACTTGATTTCACTAATGTTGAAAGAATACAGATTAAAAAGAATATTTGAGGACTTCCCTGATGGTCTAGCGATTAAGAATCTGCCTGTCAATGCAGGGGACACGGGTTCTACCCCTGGTCTGGGACAATCCCAGGTGCTGCAGGGCAACTTAGTCCCTGAGCCACAACGACTGAACCCGCAGGCCCTAGAGCCGGTGCTCCGCAACAGAGAAGCCACTGCAATGAGAAGCCCGACCACCGCAACTAGAATGCAGCCCCGACTCGCCGCAACTAGAGAAAGCCTGCTTGCAGCAATGGAGACCCAGAGCAGGCAAAAATAAACGAATAAAAAAAAATTTTTTGAATTAAAAAAAATTGAAATATTGACTCTCAGTCACTCATCCAGGAAAGAAGGAAAGAGGGGGCAGACGTGAGTGCCCTGGAGGAAGGGTGGGCAAGCTCCCTGATTCAGGTGGGGTGGGTTATTCAGCGCTGTCTGCCATAGCGAAGGGCCATAGGCCAAGCGACTTGAACAATAGAAGTTTGCTTTCTTGTAATTCTGGAGGCCAGATGCACAAGATCAAGGTGTTGGCAGGGTGGTTCTACCTGAGGCCAATCTCCTGGGCTTACGGACAGTCATCATCTCCCTGTGTCCACACAGGGCTCATCCACTGTGTGTCTGTGTCCTAATCTCCTCTTCTCCTAAAGACACCAGTCGTTCGGGCCCACCCTAGTGACCTCATTCTACCTCAAAGACCTCTTTAAAGACCCTCCCCCAGATACACTCCTACAGTCCACCCAGCAACCACTCTTTCTACAAAACTCCCCCCTCTTTTCCCTGTACCCCCTCCGTTCCCCTCCAGGGGACCCAAAGAATTCTCTAGTGTTAGAGTTTTTATATCACCTTGGATGTTAAAAAAAATGTGTTTGTCAAGTTTAAGTCCATCCTTCAGAAACACCTGACTCTAATATGATATTCACCCATCAGCCTTTTGATCTATAAATCGATTTTCTGTTTGGATCTACGCACTGAATAAGGAACGCTCTACACCAGTGAACAATTACTAGTGAAAGTCTATCTCCCTAAATAAGCTGATGTTCTAGCTTATAAATGAATCTCATGAGAGTTTTGTTACAAGGAACCCATCCTTCAGTGATGCTCAGCCCACCCTTCAGGCTGGTTTTTCTCCCAGGGGATTTAGGACCGAACCTGACGTTGCCGACTTCCATGTGGTAAGAAATCTGTAAAATTCACACAAGGCCTCTTAACCTTGACACTGTTCAGAACATCCTTGGACATGAAGAATCTCTATCGTGTGGTGGGAGTAGAGGGAGTGTTGCAATTGATGGGCATCAGTTCAGTTCAGTTGCTCAGTCGTGTCCGACTTTTTGCGACCCTGTGGACTGCAGTTCGCCAGCCCTCCCTGTCCATCACCAACTCCCGGAGTTTACTCAAACTCATGTCCATTGAGTCAGTGATGCCATCCAGCCATCTCATCCTCTGTCGTCACCTTCTCCTCCCACCATCATTCTTTTCCAGCATTAGGGTCTTTTCAAAAGAGTCAATTCTTCACATCAGGTGGCTAAAGTATTGGAGTTTCAGCTTCAGCATCAGTCCTTCAATGATTATTCAGGACTGACTTCCTTTAGGATGGACTGGTTGGATTTCCTTGCAGTCCAAGGGACTCTCAAGAGCCTTCTCCAATACCGCAGTTCAAAAGCATCAATTCTTTGGCACTCAGCTTTCTTTATAGTCCAACTCACATCCATACACGACTACTGGAAAAACCATAGCCTGACTAGATGTACCTTTGTTGGCAAAGTACTGTCTCTTGCTTTTTAATATGCTGTCTAGGTTGATCATATATTCTGTCTCTCCACCTATTAATAGACTGTAAGATCTTTGACGGCATGGTCTGGGTCTTTGTAGTTTTAAGGCTGTTTCTCAGGCCCATCCCACAGTGGGGGGAGGGGTGCTGCATCCGTGTTGGCCTGTGTGCTTTGCTGGGACACCCTCCCCCTCTCTTCCCAGTGGCAGCTCTGCAAACGGAGATGGATACCCTCGCTCTGCATCTCTTCTACATGCAGAACATAGACCAGGACGTGCGTGATGACATCCAAGTGATGAAGCAAGTCGTGAAGAAGTCAGAAGCCCAGCGCATGCGGGCCGAGCTGGAGAAGAAGCAGCAGGTATTCTGCAAAGATGATGCCCACATGACGATGGCCACACCTTGGATTTCCCGATCAGCCTTGCTCCTGTTTGAATACTACAGCCCTGGGGGGGGGCCGTGTCCAGCCTGGGGTCACTGACATGGGTCTGGGTTGGTGGGGACCCGTCTCACCATGCATCTTATCCCTTCCCTTCTAGGACCTGCACGTGGACCGGCTGACCACCCGAGCCAACCAGCTGGAAGAACAAACCTCCCTGTTTGAGGCCCAGTACCACGCACAGGCTAAAGACACTCAGATGCTCAGGAAAGCAGTGAGTGAGGTAAGCATCCACCCATGCCATCTGGCAGTGCCTGGGAAGCGCCTGCATGCCTGCTGAGAGACTGACTGATCCCTCAGTTAGCTGGCCCACCCCCTGCACATCCGTCTGTCCTCATAAGCATCTCAGAGCATCTGCCTGACCCACGGTGATGATACCAGCTGATTTGATGGCCGGTATTCTTACTCTCACCGTAGCAGTGATAGACTAGAAGGCCTCTCAGGAGCTGGAACATTCTGTCCTGCTTGCTGGGACATCCTTAGCAAGCTTCTTAGCAACAGCAGACCTCTTTCAAGGAGAGCTGAAGTTTCCCTAACCATTCTCAGCCTGGACCACTGGCACTCCTGGGCAGTGCCCACATCTCCACTCCGTAGCGAGTAAGAGAGAGCCCAGGCTCAATGCAACGCCAAATTCAGTGACTGGCACTGGAAACCAAAATCGCTGTTGCTTTTTGTTCTAATCTGTGAATCACCATCTATCTTCATATGTGCAGTGATGGCATGAAAGAAACAACACACTTTCATTGAAGGCAAGACAAATGGGTGGGCTTGAACAAACAAACAAACATACCTGGGTCCACGTGGGACAGTGCCCAGTTCTCACCAGCCTATGAGTTTACTTAATCTAGAATGAATGCCCATCAGAATCTCGGCAGAGGGAAGCTTTTTAGTTAACAAAGCAATTCTTAAGTTTACCTAAAATATAAATTCAGAGGACTAGCAGAGAATTGTCCAGGGAGGAAAGTTCATGAAGGCTGTTTGCCTGGAAATGACAGGCTTCCTGAGACATGAGACTTTCTGGGCTAACACCAGGGGGGTCCAGGACAAACCAGGATGATGGGTCCCCCCTAACATTAAATGCTAGAAAGCCCAAGTGGCTAAAATAATGACTTACTGGAGTCAAGGACAGACAGGTAGGCTGTGGGAGCCTGTGAGAGAGCCCAGAATCAAGGAAACGTTTGAATAGAAATTTCATGGATTGTAAATTAATGGAGAGCAAGTGAGTTATGCACCCGTGGTGTTGGGACATTTGGTTAATCATTTGGGGAAAAAAATCACATCTTTTCCTCATACCACGCACTGAAACAAATTCCACATGGGATCAACTGTTGAAATGAGGGAAGCTATACCAGAAGAAAGAAAAAGAGAAATATTTGTAGAGTCCTGGGTTGAAGAGGGCTTTCTAAGCATAACACCAGTAAGTTTGGTGATATAAAGAGATTTTGAAAATCAATCCAGAATCTGCCGTGCGTGTTTCTGCTCTGTGATGATCATACACACACACACACACACACACACACACAAAACACTGTCGTTTTCTTCCGTTGCGTCTTTCTGTGTCTCCCACCGCTCCCTGCTGGCTGTGTCCTGCCAGGACAGGGCCAGTCCCACGTTTGTTCATCCTGGCTTTCTGCACCCAGAACCGGGGGGCTGGGCGGAGGGTGGGGGCCATGGCAGGTGCACCACAGACATTGATGACAGACAAGGGCAGGACAGGGGTTCTCCCAACCAAGTTGGCAAAGATGAACAAGGCAAGGGAAGCAGGGCTTCTGCACTGATAGTGGGGGTGCAGTGTGCCTTCATCAGGATCTTTATTCAAGGACAATATTGTACCATGTGTCACGGGCACCCACCCCATCCCCTAGCACACTCTCCCAAAATATCACTGTTCAGCCTTCATTCCAGGGAAAATGGGCATGCAAATTAAATTTTTGTACATTAAATATTCAGTGAACAAAATGAATAGACAGTCCCTGGGGACACAGTGCTGTGTGTGATAACAAAGTCCCAAGAATACATTGTTTAAACAAATTATGATATATCCATACAGTGGAGGGCTATCTCACCAATAAAATATTTGCTGACATGGAAGCCCATTTACAATATGCTACTTTTAAATACTAAGTTATAAAACAATAATACAATGTGATTGCATACACACAGGCAAACACAACACACACACACACACACACACACACACACACAGAGGAAGATAACACCAGGGTGATAGAAATGGTCAACTTTAAATAATGGGATTATTTTTTATTTTCTTTTTGCTTATTTACATATGCTAATTTGCTTAGAATGAACCCTTTTTTTTTTTTAAATGGGGACTGTGTTTAAAACATTTAAAAACTGAATTCAGCTCAGTCTTTACATCTCAGCCTATATCTTGGTCAACAAGCCCTTGTCCAGCAGATTGGGGAGCTCCGTGGGAGGGCACCTGCCTCTGGCTGACCGTCCCCACTCAGCCTAGCCTGGGGAGGAGCCCAGCAGTTTTGGCGCCTTCTGCCTCAGCCGGGTACCGCTGGGCAATGCACAACCTGGTCCATGGCACAGAGTGGCCTTCTCAGTTAATAACTTACCCAAATCCAGAAATGTCTCGGCAGTCATGGTATAATTAACTCACACCACTTTATGCTCTATAGTGGTAATGAATAGGTGATTTGTTAAAGCCCTGATGGCGGGAGTGGAATTCCCCAGTGCAATGCCTCCTTTCACATCCAACTCTGCCCTCTTATCATCCCTGTGAGTGTTCGAGGCCACTCTGACCTCCTCCAGTGTCTACCATGCACGGCCAGCAAGAGCAGAGGCTGATTGGACTCAGCATCTCCACTGAGATGCTCGTGGCCTAATGAGGTCCTCACCCAGCCCCCACTTCTTGCCCCTTCCAAGAATCAGCATGAGGCCAAACTGCTAGGAGTGCAGTGATTCCCCTGGAATGACACATAAGGACAGTCATGAGACCCAGCACTTGGGGTCGAGCTAAGAGCGTGCTGGGCCTACAGGCACCATCCCGTCTCTCTGATGGCCCCAGCATGTGGGTACTGTTATTGTTCCCATGTCATGGCTGGGGCTCAAGGCTCAGGCAAGTGTTGGATGGGCCTTTTGAGCCATGTTTAATTTCATGTGTGTCCTTCTGTTGCTGCATATAAAGAAAAGCTAGGGTCACGGAGAAGGAAGGTAATTCGGGAAGCTCAGGGCTCTCCAATGTCCTCTTGGGGGCTCTGAGCTTAATGATGTGAGACCAACGTCCACATAACCTTGATCCTCCGCTGCAGGCCTGCACAGAAATAGAGGCCATCAACATGGAGAAGAAGCACATCTTGCAGCAGTGGGCCACCAGCCTGGTGGGCATGAAACATCGCGACGAGGCTCACAGAACCATCCAGGAGGCACTCAGGTACGAGCAGCCCTGCTGGTTGCCACAGAGGCAGGCCAGGTGACTCAGGGCCGTAGGCAGGGCCCTGGTTGGAGCGGTGGGAGAACTCGTGACATGTGGGAACACGGAGGCGGGTGCAAAGTGGACTCCACGCCCGCCTCCTCCCAGGTGAGCACGGAGCACCCGTCCCCAGCTCTCCTGGGACAAAGGGGTGCACCTGCAGCCCTGCGGCCCCAGTTTCCATTCCTGAAACCCCCCTTTATTGTTCACCCAGATTTCAGTGTCTCTTAAATCCTTTCAAACTTTCCGTGGCACCGGGAGCTGCAAAGCTTTCATGCTCAGATTTCCTGGGAGGATTAAGGAGAAACAGTGAGACAGAGAGGGAAAGAAAAGGGGGTATTTATCTTGGGGAGATGAAGGTGTCCCTTTGATTCACAGTTTCACCACCTGTGTGCAGAAACTTCACCCTTCCTCTATTGTTCTGCCGAGGGCTGAGTTCCAACCGAAATCCTGCTTTAATCTCCCCAAAAAGGGAAGGAAGAGGCCCCACCTGGCATTCCCCTCTCACTTCTAGCAAGGGCTGGACGTGCACCCTGGGTGGGGTGCTGGAGACTGGGGCTTCCACCATTGCCTTAGTTCCCCAAACCAGCAGGATGCTTGGGGCCCAGGTGTGGAAGCAGGTCCTGGAGGGAACGCATCATAGCTCGACTCAGCTCTCAGCGTGCAGCCTGGCAGTGAGCTGTGCCCAGGAGAGGCCTGCTGACCACGGGGAGAATGGATTGGGTTGCTTTGCCAGTCCCATGGCATGGCCTCTGGTAGCCCAACAGCTAGGAGAGACATTCCTTCTCAGTCTTGTGATTAAGAAAAACAAAAATAGAGGCATATACCTATGACTGTTTTTAAAACAAGCCATGTTTATGTGGGTAATGCCAGCTTAAAAATACTCATTTCCTTCACTTCCCTGAGTTGATGATAGAAAGACAAAGGGAGGACTTCCCGGGTGGTCCAGTGGTTAAGAATCCGCCTGCCGGTGTGGGGGACGTGGGTTCAATCTGTGCTCTGGGAAGATCCCACATGCCTCAGGGCAGCTAAGCCCATGTGCCACAACTATTTAGCGGGTGCTCTAGAGCCCACGAGCCACACCTACTGACGCCCATGTGACCTAGAGCCCATGCTCCGCAGCAAGAGAGGCCACGGCAGTGAGAAGCCCGTGCGCTGCAGCAGAGTAGCCCCACTCTATGCAACTAGAGAAAACCCACTCAGCAGCAAAGCTCCAGCACAGCCAGAACGAAATGAATAAATATTTAAAATCTGAAATAAAGGGAAGCTCAGGGCTCTCCAATGTCCTCTTGGGGGCTCTGAGCTTAATGATGTGAGACCAACGTCCACATAACCTTGATCCTCCGCTGCAGGCCTGCACAGAAATAGAGGCCATCAACATGGAGAAGAAGCACATCTTGCAGCAGTGGGCCACCAGCCTGGTGGGCATGAAACATCGCGACGAGGCTCACAGAACCATCCAGGAGGCACTCAGGTACGAGCAGCCCTGCTGGTTGCCACAGAGGCAGGCCAGGTGACTCAGGGCCGTAGGCAGGGCCCTGGTTGGAGCGGTGGGAGAACTCGTGACATGTGGGAACACGGAGGCGGGTGCAAAGTGGACTCCACGCCCGCCTCCTCCCAGGTGAGCACGGAGCACCCGTCCCCAGCTCTCCTGGGACAAAGGGGTGCACCTGCAGCCCTGCGGCCCCAATTTCCGTTCCTGAAACCCCCCTTTATTGTTCACCCAGATTTCAGTGTCTCTTAAATCCTTTCAAACTTTCCGTGGCACCGGGAGCTGCAAAGCTTTCATGCTCAGATTTCCTGGGAGGATTAAGGAGAAACAGTGAGACAGAGAGGGAAAGAAAAGGGGGTATTTATCTTGGGGAGATGAAGGTGTCCCTTTGATTCACAGTTTCACCACCTGTGTGCAGAAACTTCACCCTTCCTCTATTGTTCTGCCGAGGGCTGAGTTCCAACCGAAATCCTGCTTTAATCTCCCCAAAAAGGGAAGGAAGAGGCCCCACCTGGCATTCCCCTCTCACTTCTAGCAAGGGCTGGACGTGCACCCTGGGTGGGGTGCTGGAGACTGGGGCTTCCACCATTGCCTTAGTTCCCCAAACCAGCAGGATGCTTGGGGCCCAGGTGTGGAAGCAGGTCCTGGAGGGAACGCATCATAGCTCGACTCAGCTCTCAGCGTGCAGCCTGGCAGTGAGCTGTGCCCAGGAGAGGCCTGCTGACCACGGGGAGAATGGATTGGGTTGCTTTGCCAGTCCCATGGCATGGCCTCTGGTAGCCCAACAGCTAGGAGAGACATTCCTTCTCAGTCTTGTGATTAAGAAAAACAAAAATAGAGGCATATACCTATGACTGTTTTTAAAACAAGCCATGTTTATGTGGGTAATGCCAGCTTAAAAATACTCATTTCCTTCACTTCCCTGAGTTGATGATAGAAAGACAAAGGGAGGACTTCCCGGGTGGTCCAGTGGTTAAGAATCCGCCTGCCGGTGTGGGGGACGTGGGTTCAATCTGTGCTCTGGGAAGATCCCACATGCCTCAGGGCAGCTAAGCCCATGTGCCACAACTATTTAGCGGGTGCTCTAGAGCCCACGAGCCACACCTACTGACGCCCATGTGACCTAGAGCCCATGCTCCGCAGCAAGAGAGGCCACGGCAGTGAGAAGCCCGTGCGCTGCAGCAGAGTAGCCCCACTCTATGCAACTAGAGAAAACCCACTCAGCAGCAAAGCTCCAGCACAGCCAGAACGAAATGAATAAATATTTAAAATCTGAAATAAATAAATAAACTTTAAAAAAAAGAAAGCCACAGGGAGAATCGTAGAATTATCCAGGCAAAGTCCGGCTAAAAATCTTGCCTTCCCTTTGAACATGCAGGTGAGGAACCGGGCTGTCTCAGGGCTCTGGGCTTGGGCTGCCCCCTGCCCGGCCCCCCGGGGCTGCTGGTCTACCCGCTCCCGCTGTGTCTGTTGACTGAGTGCTGCCCCATGTTTGGTGTGCAGAGGCCTTAGCTAGTGAGCAGTTTTTCCCTCTCGCCTAACACTGACCTTGAGTAAGGTCAAGGCTGAGAGTCTCATGGCCTGTGGACTCCCCCACACAGGGACCCCAGGGTTCAGGGGAACACCCTCCGCTTGGGCCAGCACTCTGTGTCCAGGACTAACCTGGATGTCCCCCTACAACCTTCCTCCTCCTGACCTTGTCCCCCCACTCCCACCGGCTATTCCTACTGTCCTCCGAGACGTGGCTTGACATCACTCCTTTTCTTTTTTCTTGTTTCGAAACTCAGTATTTTGAATAGGTAACACAGTGACTTGATCTAAACTATCTGTAGACTCATATTCAGTGAGGTGAATATGCCCGTGTCCTACATGACCTGGTGCCCCTTCCCACACACATACTCCTCCTGGTTTCCTGGGTCTCCATCCCTAGGTCCTCCACGACAGCAAAAGAAAGTACACACACACACACACACACACAAAAGAAAGTACACAAATCCACGTTCTTCACTTTCCCTTTTGCGCCATGTTCTGTGCCTTGCTTTTTTTCATTCAACTGGGTGTCCTGGAGATCTTCCCAAATCAAAACATGCCGTTGTTTGTTTCTTCTTTTCCTGCCACATACCTTCTGACGGACTCGAGGTTATCCATGTGCCTTTCCAGTCACAGCGTCGCTGTGCAGCGTCACATCCAGGGCTATTATAGTCTGTATCATTCTGCATTATGTTCCCTATCAAGCCGGGAAGTTCTGGATTCCAGGGTACGCACACAGCAGGCTGGACAGGGATTTCCCAGGAGGGCTGAGATGATAACACCTCCCCCAGCAGTGTTCCAAAGTCCCCTCCCTGACAACTGAGCACATGTTCGACTGTGCCAATGTCATTGATGAGAAAAATGCCATCATGCGTTTATAACAGGCACCCATCGAATGTTCATTTTAGCAATGCACACCTCCCCTAACAACAAGTCATAGGGCACTGGTTCTGCCTCAGCTGGCCTTCCTGTGACTCCAGATACATCAGCCATGGAGGAGGGAGGCCTCCTTTCAAACGTGTTGACCGCACAGGATGCTGTGAGAATTGTGAGCTGTGATTGCAGTGCTGCATCAGATAGGTGTGAAGGAGGGAATCTGAGACAGTTTAACCAAAGTCAAGGTGTGGCGAAAACAGAACATTGCATTGCTTGGGGCTTCCAGGCCAGTTCAGCGGCTGAACTAAAATACCAAATGCCGGCTCGTAGCGTGTAGACCATTTTAGAAAATGAACGAAAATGGTGATTTCTTGGCTGATGGTCCAGACATTGGACATGAAGCTAGACACCCGCCCCGCCCCACCCCCCCTGCCCCCAGCCCTCCTGGGAGCTGTCTGGGCACTGAGGAAGTGCCTGAGCTGTGGGAGGGAGGTGGACGGTGGTGTGGGACTTGGAGGCAGGTGCTGCCCCCTCAGCGCCGGCTGGCCTCCATCAGGCCCAGGGTCTGGGAGGCGGTACCCCACCACCACCAACGTGCCCTAAGCCCAGGGAGGCCTGCAGCTCTGGACACCCGGAGCCGCCACAGGCCCAGACAGCAGCTGGTTAACAACGTGTTCCCAGACACAGGGCATGGGCAAGGCCCTTGGGGATTGCCCTGATGACAAACCGTGTTGCATCCCCCCTCCCCACTTGGGGAGGCCCAGTGGCCCTCGCTCCCTGGGGCTCATGGGCATGTCATTTCGATTGGGACCCAGCGGGTGACCTGAGATCACATGGGTCTCCGCTACAATAAGACTTGAAAGACAAGATTCCCATTGACTCTTTACCATTAGGGACAAAGTCCCATCAGGAGGGATCCCAACCATAGGCCAAGAATCACAATGAGGCTGCAGCAAACACTGAAAGTCACACATTCAAAGCCCACGAGCCAAGTTAGGGAGTTTGGAATTGACATGTACACACTGCTGCATTTAAAATGGATAGCCAACAAGGTCCGACGTGGGGAACTCTGCTCAATGTTATGTGGCAGCCTGGACCGGAGGGGAGTTCGGGGGGAAATG